GTGAGCGGATGGTGGCAAGCAAAAGCAGTCATCTGTAGTATTCATTGACTGTGTTTCTTGGTTTCTCAAATCTTTCCACACAGACCTGTATGCCTGTCACTCATTCATGGAGCTGGAACAGATGGGAAGATGTGGTGAGACCCATCCCTTACCCTAGTGAGCTGCCAGACCAGAGAGGCACAACCCTGTCATCCCCATGTGATCCGCCAGCTAGAGGAGACAGAACTGGGCAGAAGACAGTACCACAGGTTTCCGGCCTAGCTCCCACCTGGCTCCTAGCCCTTGAGGCCAAAGCCAGTTCCTTTCCAATCCTGCACCAACCATTTAAGAATGAGCTGAGCTTTGACCTTCCACATCTGGCACTTTCAGGGGTAGGTTAGGAGGTCTTTGGACTCCTGCCCTGGGTCCTTGGAGTTCATGGACACATTCACTCACTTGGTTGATATGTACCAAGCACCTGCTGCATGCCAGCCACTGCACTGGGCACCAAACAGACACCTGTGCCCACGTGACGCCTGCCTCTTGGGTTGAGACCAATTATCAACAGGATGAAATGCTGAGTGAGACACAGTAAACAGTGCCAAGTGTCACAGATCAAGATTGAGCTCAGAAAGGGACGACCAAGTACGGCTTTGTTAGCCTAGACAGCCACAACACCACCCTCCTATACCAAGTTTTCTCTTTCCTATCTGCCATACAACTACAGGTATCGAGGGCTTAGCAGGGTACCAGTGTACCCTGCAATCCTGGGGGCAGGGACCCTCACTGCTGGCCCTGGGTGGGTGCGCCAGCAGTGACAGTCTCTCCTAGATTTGTCCCAGACCTGCTACACTGCACCCTTCTGAAAAACCTGGATGTGCTTAAGTGCCAAGTGCCCCAGGGGAGAGAGGGGAGCGATTAGGAAGCTGTTCCCAGAGTGCAGCCCCGCTCCCACGCGGTCACCGTCACCAGGGAAATCCAGCTTCCAGCTGGCCCCACAGCTTAGCAGGTGAGCACCACTGGTTTGGGTGTGTGAGCCGGGCTGTTTCTCAACAAGAAGAAAGTCATCGGTGACTAACGTGAGATCTATTTACACTCGATTATCTCCTTCCTGTCCGGTAGGTAAGTCACTCTGGTAGATGACAGACCTGTCAGGGCACTCCGCATAGTCCAGGGGCCAAGCCTCCTTGCCTGCCAGGTGGGAGGAAGTGCATGAGAGATTCCCAGTGTTGTGTCTGGCATCACACATCAGATTTGCCTTCACAGCTTGCTATGTGACCTAGGTTGGCACGTGCTCTTCCCCACCCCCTATGGCATCAAGTAGAAAGAGGACATTGGATGGAAAGGACAGTTCCACCCTGTCACACACCAGCTGGGCAAGCACAGTGACCCAGCAGGATTGGTCGAAGTCTGCAGCCACCCAGAGGGGAGAGTAAGTTAGGGAAGTACGAATGCAGTGGGGGGTCAGAGTGGGTTCCTAACTATACAGAGTAGGCCCCAGGCACAGCAGGGAAACAACTGAGCTTAGGGGCCTAGCACAGGAAACCCTTTAATACCCTAGTTCAAGCAGAAAGAGTATGGCCTGGAAATTGTAGGAGGGAGGACATCAAACACCAGTGGAAGCTGGAATCTGGGGCGGAGGGGGCAGATGCAGAGCCAGCCCGACACCTGGTTCAAGCTTCAAAGGCCCCCTCCTCCAAGAAGCCCCTGCTGAACTTTCAGGAGGCCTAGTTTAGTTCAGAACTGGAGGGTAAGAGGGCTTGGAAGAGCCCCTGGGAGGAGACAGGGGCTAGGGGTGGGCTGGTGCCTCAGGTAAGGGAAAACAGGCCTTTCTCTTACCAAGGGCAGCAGAGGGAATACCCTGGGACTATAGAAGCAGGGCTGTAAGACGCCCTAGATCTGCTACCTCGTTGGATCCTCAAGATGTCCAAGGAAGAAGGTAGAATCTGATGCTACAGATGAGGGAAGGGAAGTGCGCTGTGCCAGAGCCACTGTGCCAGAGCCAAAGCCTGTGCGCTGTGCCAGAGCCAAAGCCAGCATCACCTCGGCCCCATCACACTTCCTTTCTCCTGGACACCAAAAAGCTGTTATTTAACACAGCACAAGCCATAGTTCTCTCGAAAAGCCTGGCTTTGATGGGAAAGGTCACCTTTCTTCTCTGGAAAACTGGGGCCTGGCTCCAGATTGAGTATGCCTACGGCTGGCACAATGTTGCCAAGGGTGGTTGGTGGCACAGCACAGACATAGGTGAGAGCCACGTCAGGGCAGCAAGGCTGTGCATGAGGTATGAGATTACTTTCTTTTCATTTCCTCTTATTATGCCATAAAGCTGAATTAATAACACAAACATGCTAAGGACTTCTTTATGTGTAATTGCTTGCATATTAAAAATTATGTGAAAAAGTTCTCAATGGATGCTCAGGTGAGTCACCCTGGGAGATGACACTTGGATTTATCAGGGATGCTGGTGGAGGTGAAGGGGTGCTCACAGCAAAGGGGTACTGGGAGCTGCAAACTTTCCAGTTCTGTCCACGGAGCACATGGATGCACATGGTGGTGGTAGTGGTATGTGTCAGCTACAGGTGAGGGTTCCAGAGGTGGATGTTTGGTCCTGGTACTGCGACTCAGGATTCTCCTCTTTGAAATGGGTATGGTGAATGTATCGTGCGGGTGAAATGTCAGGCTGCTGTGAGATGCACGGGGTAACTCAGGGAAGCCCACCATACAAACTGGGTGACCAATATAGATGTCACTACCTTGCCAGGGGTACTGTTAGGAATTCCCAGGAGCAGGGGACGCGGGGACGGGGAAGAAGGCCAGTGGTGGGGGAGGGAGAGATCTGGAAGAATTGTTCTGTGCTTATGGGTGAACCAGGGCCTCAGGATCCCAACTGAACTCTACATGCTCTCAAAACCTCATCATCACATATCTGGATGGAGCTTTCGGTTCCTGACTTCGGACTGGCCCAGCTCTGGCTATTATGGGCATTTGGAGAGGAAAACCAACCAACAGTAAAACAAAAACAAACAGCCATTCTCTTTCAAATAAAAAATGAAAACATTAATAACCATACAAAAGAGGGCCTTGGAAATTCAGCCCAGCAACTGACTGGCTGGTTGGGTTGCTCTAGGCTACTTACTTAACCTCTCTGTGCCTATTTGTTCTTGCCAAGTAGGGATGGCTGCAAGTGCTACCAGCAAGTGGGAGAGATCTGGGCTGGTGCTTCTATTGCCACTGTTTATTTAAAGATTTATTTTTCTTTTTTATTGGAACGGTAGATTTACAGAGAGGAGGAGAGACAGAGAAAGGTCCTCCATCCGATGGTTTACTCCTAAGTGGCCACAAAGGCCAGAGTTGAGCTGATCTGAAGCCAGGGCCTCTTATAGGTCTCCTATGCAGGTTCAGGGTTCAAGGCTTTGGGCCATCCTCTGCTGCTTTAACAGGCCACAAGCAGGCAGCTGGATGAGAAATAAAGGTGCTGGGAGATGAATTGGCCTTACTCATATGGGATTCTGGCATGCAAAACGAGGATTTAGCTATTGAGCCATCACATGGGGCGCTCCACTGCCACCCACAAGTGAAACAGGACATACCTCCAAGGTCAAATGTTTGTTTAGCAGCCAGAAGTGCTCCTTACTACACATGTCAAGGCCACTGCTATGCAGGGCACTACTGTTTGCGGGGTAGGGGCAAGTGGCTACTCCAGACCAGCAAGAGCCACAGCCTGGACCACTCTGCATGGGTTCCTGCTCCAGGCATGATCTTGTTACACCAAGAGGCTGCCCCGTACATAAGACCCATGCTTGCATGCACACATGTCCACTTCCCCCTCCCACTCAAAAGTAACATCACCCCATGGGGGTCACCCTAAAAGCTGGATCTTGCTTTTCCTACCACCTTCTGCCCTGCCAGTACCTTCCTAGAACACTGCCATGCTGAAGAAGGCTCCCCCTGGCCTGTAGCTGCCCCTCAAGCACCTGCCCATGGGGTACACCCTCATCAAAAGCCCAAGTCCCTCAGGACAATGCCACCTGGCTGAGGAGTTGTTCCTCCAGCTCTCCAAGGTGCCAGATAGGGGCAGATCCTCCATGTGCCACCCCTCACCTCTACTCCCAACTCTGCCCCCATATCCAGTGCACCAGGCCTGAGCCAGTTAACACACAGCTGAGGGACCTGGAGCCTGGACGGGTAGGAGGTGTGATGCCCACCTGCTATTTCTTTGTGTCGAGGAAACCCCAAAGTCTACCCTGAAAAGCACCATCCACTCTTGGCATTTGGCCCCTAACTCACTGTGTGTCTCTTCCCCTACCCCCAGCCTCCCTCATCTGTAAAATAAGGCTGTGGGGGTTAGGACGATTTCCAAGAGCCCTTGGGGGGCCTGACACGCTGACACTGCCAGAGTGTCCCAAAGTCGCCAGCTGTCACGGCCATTCGTCTAAATCCAGGCCAGGCCTGCAGAGAGCCTAGCTACAAGGAGGGAGGTGCCGGCTGTAGCCCCGGCCTATGTCTCTCAGTGGAGGGGGCCAGCTTTCCACAGGGCCTGAGCACCCATCAGTGGACCTGCTTCCCTGAGAAAGTGGAGGAAAACATCAGTCCCCCTCTTGGGGATCTCAGGACCCCCGGACCCAACTATAATATATCTCACACACTCTGCTGAGGCTGGAATTAGGGTGATGGGATAAGGGTGAGGGCAGGCCTTGGGAAGGCAGGGCCAGGGCCCTGTGGTCACCTGCCACCTGGCCCAGCCTCCACAGGAACATGAGGCTGAAAGACCCAGAGGTGGGTCCTAGATTCGCAGCCAAGACTCCTCGATTGTCTTGCATGATCTGCAGCCCTAGGAACTGATGTTCAGCACAGGTGCAGGGTATACTCAATGTTCTGTGTCATTTCCTGTCCCTTCCTTTCCCTAATTCACGAGGAATCAAGAGAAAGCACTCAATGACATAACAGCCAACAATGAGGAACTCAGGCCCAGACACGCAGGGCCCTGGGGCCTCCCTGCACCTGTCACACGGCCTTACCTGTCATGATCCTCTGGGCCTCGTAGGGCTCCATGTAGCCAGCACTCTCACCCTTTCCCGCTTTGCTTTTGAGATCGTTCTTGGCATCAAAGGGATCCGAGTAGTCATCAGCTATGGTCACCTGCAGGAGGAAGACAGTGCAGCATGAGGCCACCTTTGGCTATTTCTCTGTGGTTCACAGCCACGTTTTGCTCCAGCAGACATCAGCTGAGCTGGGAGAAGCACGGGGTGTGGCAAATGGTGCTCCACCTTGACATTGCTCTGGGCCTGAGGGAGGGTCCTTAGAGCCTGGGGTACACACTGCCTAGCTAGCTGTGGACAAGTCAGGTGAGACCAGAGGGACTACTGGAGCAGGGTAGCAACATGCATGGAGCCTACAAGGGTGTCTCTGGGGAGAATGAGCACCACTCAGTGCAGTGGCATGGAAATAGAGGAAAACTCAAGGCAAGATGGAAGGGAGACCACAGAAGGATCAGAAATGCTGGCACTCCTGGTGTGGACTGAGGCTTGGTGCTCGGTGAGAGATGATTACAGCTGGTGCTGTGCTGTCCCTCAGTGCTGGAACACAACCATGCCTTGGGTCATCACACAGCAATGTGATGACATCAACACAGGGCAAAGCCCAGAGAAAGCACGAGAGCAGCTCCGGGACGGATGAACCGACAGACACACACTGCCCCAGGGAGGATGGCCCAACTGAAGGAGGAGGAGCAGGACCTGACCAGGGTCCTCCATGGCCTCCTAAGAGAGGTGAATGCACCAGGTAAAACCTCAAGCAACCCAAGACTGGCAGGCGGAGGGGGAAGAGATTGCCTGTCGCTCTAGGGGTGGGCAGAGGCCAGGTCCATACTGACCCCACGCCCAAGATGTCACAAAGGGATGTAGCATATGGGAGAGGCTGGGAAAGGGACCCCAGTCTTGGCACAGACTCCACAGTGCCTGCCCCCGAGGGTCACACAGGCATACAGTGGCAAAGGGAAATGGGTCAGGTCAAGTCTCCAGGCTGAAGCCACCTGGGCTGGCTCTTTTGGGCAAGGGAAGGCTGGTCTTTCTCTACACCCTATTGGGGCGGGGATGTCCTAGGAATTGTTATTTAAATGGTGGGCTTAATTAGAAACCCCAGGAGTCTCCTCTTTCCCAGCTCCCTGGAATGTGAGGCATTTGAGGGGCTGTAAACCCTTGGGGAAGGGAATAACCACCCCTCTTTGTCTGCCTGGTAAAGGGTGGCTTGTGGCAGCACTTGGCAGGGTGCTCCAGTGACCGCGGGAAGCAGCTTGGAATGTAAAGTCCCACAGAGGGATGGCAGGCTGCAGCTCAGTCCCTGGTGCGCGTGGTGGGAGTGTGTGTGGGGCTGTACGCTGGAGGGTGGGGGAGAGTGCACAGTGGTCACTGCTCCCCAAACAAGAACAAGCTTCGGAGTAGAAAGCCTTGCTGGGCGTCAGCTGCACCCTGGCTGCCTCGCAAGGAGGGAGTCCCAGTGGGGAGCCACTTCCAGATGCTGACAGGGTAATCGCAGCCTTTCGGGAGGCTCACGGACTCCAATGACAGGACGCCCAGCTGGGGAAAGGAGGGGGTGGTGGAGAGCTAGCCCGGCCATGTCTTTCATTTGATATTTCTACTCTGCCATTTGCAAGACACATTAGGCAGAAAATGACACAAAGAGACAGACCCATACTGTCTGACAGAATGGTTCAGCTGCTTGGGAGGGTGGGGGGCACACAGTCAGGGGCCCACAGAGTTCAGAGGACCTCAGGGTAAAGAAGATGAGGCACCTGCTGTGGCCAGCATGGAATGGCAGTCCTGTCCTCCCAGACAGCCTCGTGGTCACTGTTCCGTATGAACACCCTAGTCTAAAGGAGCCAATCTTTCCCTCAAGAAAATAATCATTTTGAGGGGGGGGATTCACTGGGGCGCACAGAAAACTGCAGGGAGCTTGGTGCTCCAGCTCTCTTGGAAGGGCTCTGCAATCTGTCAGCGGCAAGGCTTGGAGGACATAAACCACATCTTTGTTCGCTGTGGAACAGGAGCTCAGGGAGCTCAGCGATTCAGTGGGCGCCATCTCTATTTTCTAATTACAGTGAGATCTGAGTGCAGGCTGTCACAGGGCCCCCAAGCTGCCTGCCCCGCTTACTTCCGTTGTAAGAATTTACAAATCCTAAAACCCAGCAGAGCCCCTGGTCTCCACTGACATATGGTTCCCGTTACACCTGCTGACATCTGAAAAACCCTTCCATTAAAAAAAAAAAAAAAAAAAAAAAGCTTGGGATTTTGTTTGTTCAAGCAGTAAGTAGGAAGTTTCCTAAGAGGGATATTTAATCAATTTGCTTTCCAACTTCAAAGTGATGGTGGTGGGGGGAAGGGAATTGGAGGTTTGAAGAATCTGAAGCCCAGAAAACACGGTATGATTCCACTCAGCCTTATACACAGTGCAGTGCTGGCTTAAGGAGTAGACAGAACCAGGTGTTAGGAGACAGTTCTCCTAGAGTTCTCCAGAGGGCCGGAGCCTGTGCTGTGGACACCAGTCACCAGGACCAGGCAGTAACTGCTGTCCAAGCTGCGTGGGGCTCAGTGTCAAGCAGGATGGCCCAGGAGGTGGCTCCAGCAGAGCCTGCTACTCTTCCAAAAGAAAGGGAGGCAGTTTTCCCAGAGGTGGGCCTGGATCCTGCTAGGTTTGCTTCTGTTTTGCTTTATGACGCTCCAGTAAGTGAACAAGTGCCCTGGATCTAGTGGAACCATCTGACCAAAAGGGACAGTCAGGGACTCTTAGGCAGTCCAGGTCACCTAGGTGTACCGGAAGCTTTCCTTTTGGTTTTAGGCTGGCAAAGATGTGGTGTCCATTAGATCCCTTCCTGGGTCTGCACAGCTGCGTGGAGAGGAGAGAAGTCAAGACTGACCTGAAAACTAAGGCTGCACTAAGTTCAAGTGTGGGGAGCAGAGGCAGCAAAGGGCAGGCTATCCCCTGCCGCTGCCTAACCAGCAGGGCCTCTTCTTCATGCTTCCTTTCTCCATTCCACACATACTGTCGGGTGCAACTCAGTCCCTTCCAACAGTCTTCAGGCCCTGGTAATTTTAGCTCAGGGGTTTAGTTTTGTGGTAGGAAATTGTCTTCCTGTTCCTCCCCAAAGGGGAGGTATTAGAGAAGCAGGTGTTGCTACCTGGCCACACTTGCCTGCACGCTGAGGAGGTGTTTCGGTTGCTTTTGCAAGATATGGCTACACCTGCGTAGAGCCCTAGACCCTCTACCCTATCCTCCCTGGGGCGTACAGGGGCCGAGCTGCTTTGAAGGGTAACTTTGGGACAAATCTATTCAAATCCCCAGATGCACAGACCTTGGCCCAGTTATCTGCTTTCTCAATACTTATTCCCAAAGGTATAGAAGGAGATATGAGCAAGGATGCTCCCGGAAGCAAACAAGGAGGTGACAGCAACTACTCTTGCCAAGCAATAGTTCCACCCTGTGGGATAATACAAAATTTAAAAAGAAAACCATCTCCATGCCTTTGAGCAGAAAGAAAGGTTGAAGAAAGAGAAACACAACACACTACCAATGTGTGCAAAATGTAACAGAAATCAGCTCTAACTCTTAATTCCAACTTCCTGTTAATGCCCACCCCAGTGGACGGCAGTGCTGGCTCTAAGACTTGGGACTTCACCGCTGGATTGAGTTCCTGGCTCCCAGCTTCAGCTTTGCCCTGTCCCAGCCTCAGCAGGCATTTGGGGAGTGCACCTGCAGATGCATAAAATGGCAGCTTTGGTACACTAGATAGGCTGTTTCCCAAACATGCCTGAAGATAGGCCTGACCTGGAATGCTTGTTAAGAAAATAGATTCCTAGACCCCCAATAATCCCTGAATTTAACAAGCATGTCAGGCGATTTGCATCAGAAAAGTGTGGGAATTAGCAGGCTGGAACCTGTCCTTTCCCCACAGGGTCCAAAGGCATGCTGAAATTTTCGTTTTTTCCAGCTTTCTCTCTCAGCCCTGTTCCTCAAAGCAACACCTGTCCTGTGAACTGCAGCACTCTGCTTCCTCCCCCTGGGGGTCAGTGGTAGTAAGGGCAGACCTAGCATACACTTTGGCCTTGGTTTACTTCCAGAAGCTGGGATGTAAGGGGCTGGCCTCAGATCGAGCAACACGTCCCGGGGAAGAAGCTCCCTGCCCCCCAGAGGAAAAGTCAATGGTTCTCTTATTACAGACACTTTCAGGTTAAGTCCGCTGCTGGCTCTTAGCAAACCCTTCCAGGAAGATCACCTTGCCTACGAAGAGCTGCCCGCAAGAACCATTGCTGAAGTTACCACACCCGCTCAAAAGAGGGACAAGAGACCCATGCCATCTCCATCAGCTCCCTTAGGCCACCTGCTCATGCCCTTGCTGTCCACTGCAACTAGCCACGCCATGGAGCCTTATCCCTCCCCTGGAATCTGTGGATGGGGTGGGGGCGCAGGTTCTGCACGGCTTGCACCTCCTTGGAAAGTGAAGGGGCAGCACCCCACAAGGCCCCCGATTCCTGCCAAACCTATGACTTCCCTCTGCTCTGCCCCAAGGCAAACTGCATGTGAACACATCTGGGAAGATGCTCCATGGCCCCAAGGGGACTGTGTTCCCACTGATGGGTTATCAGGCCTGTCCGTTTCCAGGAGAGCATTGGGGTCAAGGGATCTTTGAGAATTTGACAACTGATAACGTTGAGACCCCCATGGAAGTGCTGTTAGGGAGGTCACAAACCCCCAGTGGAAACCCTTCCATTAGAATTGCTTTCACCATCAGGGAAGAGAATGCATTGTCTCTGTCTTTGCAAGGCAACTGCAGGGTGCTGACTCCACTGAAATTCAACACCCAGTGCCCCGCCTGCAGTGGACCTGTGAGGCCCACTGGGACCTGGAAGACTCTTTCAAGGGGTGGCTGCTGCAACCAGAAACCTCCACACCTCTGCCCCATTCCAGGCTGGGCAGGACTGAGGGCCACAGGAGAGGTCAAGCAAGAGAAGATAAGACAGACACAGGGTTCTGCAGGGGGCTAGTTGGTGGGGAAGAATCTGTGGATAGATATTTTGCACTGCCCTGGAAGCCCCAGTTGCCATGCTTGGTGACTTAGGAAGGACCTAAGACACTCAGGAATGGGC